AAATCTAAACAGAAAAAATAAATGACTGTTTTTTAATGGCATTAATTGTCACAAATATAAATTTGTAATGTATTGATGAATTGACAAAAAATGATGATAATCAGTTTGATATATTTTCTATGTAAAAACCTGGCAAGTTTAATTTGATGACTTTTATCATCAAATTTTATAAATATATCCGGTTACCTTTTATTATTGGGGTTTATTATCTGTGGGTGGAAATCAATTGTCTTCAGACTTTTCCACTTGTAAATAAATAAATAAATTACAGAAAAGTAAAGTATACTTGGTCCAACTTATCAATAAAGGAACAAAAAAAAAATGCCATGTATGGAAACCTCAAGTGATGCATTGTTTACTATATATTCTTATTTTTACTGGCCAAAATGATTATAAATTAGTAGAAAGGAGAATAGAGAAACTTGTGAGATTGATCAAGTCGAAGCAGCTGGATATTTGGTTCACAGAAGAAATTGCAAGGAAGAAATAATTAAAATCTTTTAGTATTAATACTATTGTAAATTTAATTTTACTGTTTGTGTTTTATATTTATTCAAGTACTTTCAATAAAAATACAAGTTCATCATCAAGCAAAGAATTAATAGAAAAAGATTATATAATAATGATATGATAGAATGGCATGACATTGTGCAGGCAGAACTAAACATAGTTTGACACATGACCTAACATGTAAAGCAAATGAAGTGATGTTTTTTCAACAATACAGAATTTTATAACAGAACAAATTGATAAAAAGTTTTCATGGTAAAAATTTTGCTACTAAAATCTGGAAAAATGTAGTAAAAAATATTTATTGATTTCAAACACACAAATGTAAGCATGATTTAACATGTTAAATAGTTAATTTTAAGTTTTTATATTAACACCAAATGATTGCTGGTTTAATTCATATGCCTTTGTGTCCTTATACAATTTATTATATGAATGTCTACTAGGACGTATCATATATTATTAGGACTTACTGTACTGGGTTCTGCAAATTGAGGAAACTTATTCAGAAAAAAAACAATCTTTATTGTTCACCTGTTTCACCACAATATGTCCTAGTAGACATTTATATAATAGATTACTGGATTACATCAGGCTATATTAATGGCACTATTAGTAATTAAATTTTAAGTAATTTGGTTTAGAGGCAGGTGTTAAGCATCATCTCATGATAAATTTAATAATTATAACTAAATTAATATTTTAATAATTAATTTAGAAGGTTTTGGACAAAAAGAATCAGCCTAACATGAGACTCAAACCTGCAACTTTCACTAACTGTGCGAAAGCATTTCCAGTTATATTTTGGCATTAATATTAAAAGATTGGGTTAAAGTTTAACTGTTAAACAATGTTTATATATGTATTTAAGTTTTTATTTGGTGTTTTATATTATTTGTGGATTTCATACAGTACGGGTTTGTTAATTGTTTGTTGTAATGGGGTGGCTATTATTGTCTTACCAATATTGCCTGTATTAATAAATAAATAAAGTAGAATCCTGATTACCCAAGGTTCTGCATTATCTGAGACAAGCCTGTAAGTGAATAACTATTGTATTTTCCTTATACTATAATTGATAAAAGAAACTTTAACATGTTTTAGAAAATTTGTTTCTATAACCTGTTATCATTTAACTTCAATTTGAAACAAATCATTCATATTTAAATATAACTATAGTCAATAACACACATACTTATTCATAAAACTATTGTACTGTACTGTACATACATATTAGCTGTATATTAAAAATGTTGTTCTTATGTATGATTAAATTCAATAAGACAGTGCTTCCCAAACTTTTATGACTTGTGGCTCACGTAGTCTGCTTTTAATATTTTGCTTGTTCATTAGGTGTGTGATCATGGGATTGGAATATTTTGAGATATGTCAAGCATAAGCCTTTGATATGTCAAGCATATAGTTTGATTTACAACAGTTGTCTTTGTGATTGTTCTTACATTCATGGGCCATAAATATGTAGGAGTATGATATTTAAAAAATGTATTTTTTATTATAAAAATGCAGTTAACTTATTTTATTAATCTGTAATATAGGTCATAATCAGTATGTGCTAGAGAAGTTAAGGAATGGTTCAAGAAGTCATAAATATACTATTTACCAGAAAGAAGAAATTCCAGAAATTTTTCACTATCGCAACAACCGCAGGGTCATGCCAATATTGGCTGTGGCTGATCTGGGATGGGGCTTTATTGTGGAGAATGAAACTGTCAGTAAAGTGGGTAAGTCATTTTGTCCAACATTCTAAATATCTGTTTTATGAAATTGTATAGAAACAATAATTACATAGATATTTACTTTATAATATTAACAGACAAGGAGAGTTTTGCTGATGCATGTCTCCATCTAGATAGTTAAGTCTTTCAAATTTTTCATTATGCTGTTTCTGTTCATAGTTTATTGTATAGAAGCTAAAGGTATTACACTTTGAGCAAAGCTTTAATCTTTTCAGCATTACTGTAATTTGTACAGTTACTGGTGGTAGACCAAGAGCTTTTCCAATATCTATACCTTATTGTCTATCATCAAACCTCTTTAAAATGTTCAATTTTCTTTCTAATGTTACACTTTTTCTTTATTGTTCAGGCAACAGAGATTAAGGACATTAAGGATGTACAGTGCTTGTTCAGCACCATATGTCCTTAATGTCTGTTGCACTAATGTTATTGCAACAGGGTTAAATCAAGAAATAAATGTTTGCAAGATAAAAATTGTAAGGGGTGTCTCTTGCACCTAACAGTACAAAAAACAAACAATTGACAATTCCAACAAAATATAAAACATACTATATGAATTGAAAATGGAGAATGCAGATAGGACAAGCTTATTTACATTAATATTAAATAATGTATTAAGTATTGTTAATATGGATATAGGTGTAAACTAGCAGAAGAGCCCAGTGTTGCTTGGGTGAACAATAACAACAGCAAAAATTAAAATTATTAGAATATTTTGTACTTCTAACCCTTCTATTATATTATATTATAGTATTTGATTTATATTTACAAAGGTTGTCTTACATAAGAGTTTATCAAAAATATCAAAAAATTCTTTAAATTATGTACAGTAGAGGAGTAAAGAATTTTTAAAATTGTTAGATTGGGCACTCAGTGTGATAAATTCTTACGTAATATAACCTTTGCAGTTATATAAATCAAATACTATAATATAACAAACATTAAAACAAAAGCTGTATAAGGGTTTGGTTATTTTAGCCTACATTGTCATATTTATTGCAATATTCTGATGGTACGAAATGGCACAATTTCATTGGTCAAGTAGACACCAATTGAAAATATGGTATCTTAAATTTTTTAATACATCATATTTTTTCCTAATATTAACTCTAAGAAATTGTATCATTCACAGCCAAATATCAAACAGTAATCTGCCAACCAATGAAATTTCACAAAAAAAAAAGGACCAAATATTAAACTTGGCATGCTTGAAAACTACTCAAAACATATTAATAGATGAAGTACTCAAAACATACTTTCCGGTAACCTTGTATTATATTTTTCATATTTGAGTGTAATGTAGTAATTTTCATATTTGAATGCCACCATATTGCTGGTTCGATAGAAAGAAGGAACTGTTGCTGAAGGAGATCAAAGTAATTTGACCAAAAGTAGTTGTTGACTGCTTCCCAGAAGAGAGGATGGTCAATGAGTACTAATTAATACTGGTCTACTATTAATATTTGAAAAGTGATCTCTGTTGGATGAGTTGTGATGTCCTCGCATGTGATCGAAGTTGTTAACTTTAACATCTGAAAGACTTTATATGACTTGTTTAAATAAAAATCTTGTAAAAATGCTAGAATAATTCCTTTTATGTGATAATAAAGTGTTTATATTTTTGCAACAGATTGTATAAACTATGTGTTCTCATAAATATAGCATTTATAGAAAAATTATTGGGCAATTTGAAAAAAATTTAAGCCTATAAATCCAACTGTGATCTTCCTGTCTGACTATCCTTCCTGAATCCCGAGAAAAGAGTTAGATGAAAGCCGAGATCAAATATGGAAAGCTTAGGGGCAGGAGGCCAGATTAATTAAATACGAACTTCTGGAACAAACCTAAAGTCACATTATTTCAATTCAAAATTTTCCCCTAAATGGAGTTAGATAACTGGTATGATTCTATACCTAACAGGAACAGTGTGGTGTACAGGGGCAAGACAACCACTAAAAGTATTGAGAACATTATGACCCTATTTACGTGTTACTAATGTCAAGAAAACCCATGTGGCCAACCTGTTGGCGATGCCTGAACCCACAACTAACTACCAGTGTTTTTATCCACTCACTCAGCTATTGGAGGGTGCTTATTAGAATAAAGCAAGTACTGTGTAATAACCCAAGCTCTTTTCATTCCTGAACAGTATGTTCAGAAATGAAAAAACCATAGTTGTTAGATGTGGAAAATTAAATACTTATATAAAGTGTTACAGTTTAGATTGTATGCAGGCAAGTGCTATATGCTTCCTGTCTCAGTAATGATATAAAATGTCTATTTTGTGCTATATCATTGTCACAGTAATTAAGTGAATATAATATATAATTTTTTAAAATCATATCCTTTTTTGTAAGAATTATATGTAGTTTATTATTTTGTTAAATTTTTGCCAACAAATGGCATTATGTGTAAATCAGCAAGTCGAATGTAGATAGAAAGTAAACTATTTATAGAAATCCAATCGATATTTTGGGATGGGATGTATGATGATATTTAAGTTAGAAGTAACATAACTGCTGAGTTTCATAGCAATGGTTGAATGGCATAGGAGTGTATAGCAAACAAACAAACAAACATCCTCATTTTTATATATAGATATATCAGTTTGAATTGATATATTTACACCTATTCACCTATCAATGCACAGGATAGGCTGCATTTATAGTATATAATGATATGCAAATTATGGTGACATTAGCCACATTGCATGTCAGATAATGGTATTGTTCTGTTATCATTGAATTGCCATTTCATTCAACATGGAAAGATGGAACACAGAACAGTTCAGAACAGATCTATCACAAAAGTGATAAACCTTTATCACATTTGTTATAGAAGCTTATTTCAAAAATAATAATTGATACAGTAGTTGCTACACAATTTATATTCAGGCATCACTTCAACTTGGGTTGTCATGGAAATATACCAGATGCTTGCAGTAAGATAGCTTTGTTCCTTTAGATCCACTGCATCTACCTGTAATCATAAAACAGGACAGAATGAAAGGACTGCAGACACTGTTAATGATTGAAACTGTTCATACTGCAGTTATACAGAACCCAAGAAGATCTGCTTGGTTATGTGCTGTGGCTTTGCAAATTTCAGATTGATCATTTGGGAGAATCTGCAATCAAGATCTTCACTTCCAAGCTTATAAACTCAAGTTGTGGAAGAACTTAAGTTCTAAGATTTGAATGCACACAAACAGTTTTGCACAACCATGTGTGATCTGCTCCTTCAGAATCCAGAAAGTTTACAGTTATTGATAATGTCTGACCAGGAATCATACTCAAAACCAGATGTGTAAATGTCATTCACTCGACTACTATTTGACACTGAATATAAATAAATAAATAACATATGTTCATCTACAAGTATGCTTTAAAATATACTGTGAATGCAGCTGCACCTTGTATTAATCAGATTTCAAGAAAAAAGTTTGGTTAATACTGTATGATTATTGTTGAATTGTGTTTTCACCATCAAGTATTTAATTTCCAGTTCATAGAATTAATTTTACTGTTTGTAAAGAAAGTTCAATAACAATAATTGTAAATGATTACAAACATAGTTATATTCTTTCTCATTGACATTATAAAGAAACAATATTATTCAAGGATCTACTGTACTAATTTTGATGAATCACATTGCATTACATAATGAGTAAAAATTATTGTGACATTGTCTCAATGCCAGGCTGCAATTTTTAATTTATTTAATTTAAAATGTATGCTCTGTATCTGAAATTATTAGTGTTATGACCCTGTACATCATACTTTTCCTGACAACAACAGTCATGTATGTCAGGGGTGGCCAATTTTTTGTACATAAGATCTACTTTTTATCTTAAAAATGTGTTGCGATTGACTTGTTGTCGTAGGCATAGTCTAAGTGGCAAGGGGGAGGTGTGAAATACATACTATGTTTAGATAGGTAAGAAAAGCCACAATTTAATTTAAAACATGAAGAAAAGATACTTACATTTTAAACAGAAGAAAAATTGAAACTCAACGTTGTGACTTTTGGGGACCACCACTTCACTCTTCCTTTTTCTACCGTGTCCCGAACTACTCTCTCTGTCCCTCTTCCTGCATTTTTTTTTTTTTTCGGTTTTATGACCCTTTATTTCTTATTCCTCTTTTACAACTGTACACAAATGGATTGCACATGGACCAACAAAACTGCATCTGAGGGAGACGTGGAGGTCCACTATCACTACAGTTGCATTTCTGTGTTACATTCAGTTACAAGTGTAACACATTAAGTCAAGACATCTTGAGCGATTGACCAAATTGACTTCACGATCGACTTGTTGGCTACCCCTGATCTATGTAACTTCATTCTGGAGAAAAATTTTGAATTGAAATCATCTTACTTTTGGTCTATATCAGAAGTTTGTTTATAGTTAATTGGGGCCTCCTGTCTCTAAGCTTTCCATATCTGGTCTCAACTTTCATCTATCTAACACTATTCTTGAGATTAAGGACAGACAGATGGATGACAGTGGGAATTTATAGGTCTACAATTTTTAAAATTGCAGCCCAATAAAAATATAAACACAGTAGTATGTTTCTTAGATTTAAACAAATAATATACCTATAAATATTATTATTATAATTATTTGCAATTTATTTTAGGAGGACAACATGGTTATAATAACAGCATTCCAGAGATGTGGCCCATATTTATTGCCCACGGACCAGTATTCCAACATAATTATACCATGGGTTCATTTTTTAACGTAGATCTATATCCTTTGATGTGCCACGTATTAGGTGTTCAGTGTTCACAAGCAATTAATGGCTCTTTAATGAATGTCTGGAACATGTTAAATTCAAATTCTGTAATTATAAGGAAGTCTTCTCTACCAACAATATGGATAATAGGTAATTACATAAAACAAATATATTATTTATACAAAAATAGTTGTAGTTTAATGTCAAAATTTATTAACAGGTATTGTTGCTCTCCTAAGTTTTTGCATCATTGGTGGTTTAATTATTATAGTAATCACAACAAAAAGGAAAACTGTGACAAAGTTGGAATTTGACATGACACCAATGACATCGACCACAATAAGGACAGACAGAAATAATTCCTCAATAGAAGAGCAGCAGCAACTATTACTAGATCCTGTGTTTGATGATTAAAAATTTTCTAATGATTCCATATTTTTCTAAAAAATAAATGTTGATAAATAATTTAAGTCAGTGTTGAATCCAAGAGTGTCCTTAGGAGATTTCTGGACAACAGTCTTTCCTGGAACAAATATTGTAACTATCAATTATTGCATTTTTATCTAGGAAAGCTTGTTAAAATCAGTATTGATATATGTTAAGTTTTAAACTACTATTTAATGTTGAGTGTGGTGACAATTGATTAAAAGAGCAATTAAAAAGTGATATTAATTATTTACTAAATGAATATATATAATAGATTTGGGGATAATCTGTAGAACAATGATTCCAATCTTAAAGCTTACACATCTTATTCCTGGATAATATTGAATGTATTGCTGTAATTTGTCTGTACTAAAGTTTTCCTTCAAAAGATTGGGACACTTTTAACTGATTAATTGTCAACATGTGATGAATTGGCAATTTGGTTGTATGATGAAATATCAGTTTGTTGCCATGAATTATCTGGCTTGGATCTGATTCAGACTTTTGATTTTTCATGGGTGATAGGGGTCAGTATATTCATTTCCTGTCCTTCACCATTGCAGGTCATGTAGCCCAAATAGTTCATAGTGTGCTAGTGTTTGCATTAACCAGTCAATTAGTCAACATTTATTGATATGCTATCTCAGAATCAGACACACAAAAAAGAGAGAGATCCTAGCATTACAATAGCCATATATTGAAACATAAACATAACATGTAACACACGCGCACACACACACACACACACACCTAAAACATTACAATATGTTAGAATGTGATTGTATGATATATTTTTGATGTTTTTATTATTTGACATACTTTACAGCTATATACCAAATTACCAAATTATGTGATTTATGTTGTGCTATACAGTTACAGAACATAATAAAATCATTCAATATTAAATAAATTATATTATTTCACAAATAGTAATATGTTTGTTTATTTTTTGATACAAAGTTTTGTCAAGGCACTTTACCCTGCTAGATATGTAAGGTAACCCTCAAATAATGCAATAGTTAGGTTTCACAAAAATATTGTTATAAAAATTGTTATGCAAGATTCACATTATATATAAAAGTGGGTTTATGTTTTAAACAATTTTTTAAATACAAATTTTATATATCTTCAGAAAAAAACAGCTTTATTTCATTCAGAAAATTTTATTTAACAAAACATGAATTATGAGATGAAAATAAACTTACTAAATTTGTAAAATATGATTTTTATCACTCAGGATTGATATGCACTTACTGTATGTCTTTAACTAACTTGTTCACACTTATTACGTAATTAAATGCTATTTTCAAGAATGCAACTGAAAAATAAAAAGAAAATTATAAGCAGCATGCAGCTTACACAAAATGTCAAAGGAAATTTCTGGCCTATAAAATTTTTTATTAGCACAGAATAGTATTTTACATTTTTTTAACAAGATTGTCATGAAAATGAAAAGCTTTCATAATTACAGAGAAAAGCTCTCTCTGTATAGGGGAAAATTGCACAATCTACATTGGCAAAGTATATTATAATAACTGAAAGAACATTTACTAGAATAAGATAAACAGATGATTTCATACAAACTCTTATCTAAATTGCAGTTTATAAGTGCTGCATTATACAAGGATTGCTACAATTTGTGAATTGCATTGTATAATTATCAAGTTATTCAAGGTTTACCTATATTTGTATCTTTAGAACATGATATTTATCAGATGTCAATGAGCCATAGTCACACAAGTGTCTGCATTTAATTGAAGTAATAATAATCATTTGGGCAGAATACAATATATATATCTTATATAATATCAATATATATCTAAATTATTGTAATTGAGATTGTGATTATTATATTGAGATTTGAAATTCTTTATCATACAAAACTTACATATCTGATTAACAACAGAATGAGATTGAAATTTTATGCTAATACTTATTTTAAAAAATATATCTTGATTTCAGTATCTCCCA